ACAGAAGAATAGATAATGAGGAAATTTGATTTTGCCCAAATCTGGACATCGTGAGTTGAGAGGAGTGAAGTACTTTTAATACGTACAGAGTTGTATGTACCCTAAATCATCAAATCACCTAAATGTGTGCTGAACTTTAAGTACATCAGTAATCAAGCTGGTTTCATGGAAACAGTGTGTAAAAAAAAAAAAAAAAAATCACAAATTGTATGTTTGGTATTCTGAACATATAGACTGCATGGAGACAATCTTTTCTAAAAAAACTTTGCAAAGTAAATATACAGGACTGTAAAGGGCTGTGAAGCCAATTCAGTTAACTTGATTTAAAAGCATTCTCTGCCATCATGTACATAGAACTGCAAAGCCATTGAGGATCTAGGAAGACAATACGCATATAAGATTTCAGGACAGATTCCATATTATTACACTAAGAATATAGGTTATTTGTCAGGTAATTATTTACCCCATATATTACTCCGGTATCACCTTTATTTTTTTTTCTTTTATACAAACCTTTAATTATGTCTGGATTTTGCCTAAACCAAGTACTGGAGAACAAGGCACACAGTGAGATCCACCTGACTCATTCTGAATCAGGATATTTTCTGCATGAAGTAATTGAATCAGAGAAGTTAATCTTTGGACTGCAATATATGACAACCAGTGAGACTAATAAAGGAGTATGAAAGGAGAAGGATGCTGCTTTACATTGACTGGGATGTCTAGCACATGATTCAGTTATAACAGGCGTTAAAAAGCATGCTTTCCAATAAATCAGACAGCTTCAAGTATTGCCTGTATTAATAGCAATCAAAATGTTGCAAAAAATCCACTGCCCTTTATGAGCAATTAACTCCAAGCGCAAAAAAGATGAAGATATGATAAATAAATAGACAATATTTTAACAGGTAGGAGTGTGTAATTGCCGGTTCCTTTCTCTGCTTCTGAGCGGTTTCCTGTCCTGCTGTGGCTATGCAGTAACAGACGCTTTTCTAGGTCAGCGATGAGTATGAGCTGAAGTCAAACACAAGCAAGGCCAGTGCTCACCCACACAACGCTGCTGCAGAGCACTCGCTGGGGAGGGTGAGCGGGAGGCTGTGGGAAGGGCACGCAGGGAAAAGCCCTCTCACCTGTGCACACAACACTAACAGAGGCAGAGAAAGCCTCAGCACCAAAGCAGTAACCTCATGGGGTCACACAGACACTAAGGCAGCTTCCTGCCAAAGCTGTTATTTTGCAAACAAGAAGCCATCATCTTTCCTGATTCCTAATGTCTGCAAACCCTGCAGTAAGCACAATGGCTTTCAACAGGAAAAATAAAAAAATAATGCAATACTCATCCCTTTTCCTTTGTTTCAGCCTCTCTCTGCCAGCCCAGAAGCTCAAGCACTTCAGCCAGGTCCTTCCCCCTCTGCAGATCCAAGCTCAAGTGTCATTTACACTTTGCTCCATGTTGTATTTTTCACCAGCCAGGGAAGGCTCCCACCTCACTGCCAGCTGTTGTGAAGGCAATCAGCCTCACTGAGCTCAGCCCAGAGAGTTGATTATCTACACGATTATCAGACAAACTCACTCCTCAAAGTTCCCATTTACTTTTTGGACAGTTTTGAACAGAAGAGTAGGTCAAAAGAGATGTTTCTTTAGAGGAACATATCTAATTCATTAAGGTAACCTAATCCACTTTTTTTTTTCAAGCAATGCCACTTTTAAGTTCAAATTTAACATTTTAAGTAAGCCAGCCTTTACCTTTGCTTGTGCAAGTATGCTCCTTACACAAAAGCAACAGCCTGGGCAAATCCTCTCTGCAATGAGCAAAGCAAGCAGTAACAAATAAGAACAGGAGAGTCCTTTAGGCAAGAAGAGAAGCTAATGAGCAGCGACAGCACACATACCATGCTCACTTCTGCTCTCACACCAATGTAGCATTGGTAAACTTGTTCCTAATTTACATCAGCATAGGTAAGAAGAAAATCAGCTTTTTTTAATTGTTAAGCTGCAACATTACTGTAAACTGTACTCGCTTACCAGTGCGGTGAGTTCCACCATGCTGAGTTTCAGAAGGTGGTGGTGCTGCTCTTGTACCCAAGAGAGTAGCTAATTCGCAGTTCTTCCTATTTCAGAAACACAGCCTCCCCCCACCTACCTCCTTCAGAAATACCCCTATAGCACAGGCGGTTTTCTGCTGTGGGAGCAGTAATCAGATAGGTCTCACCCTTTCTTCTAAGTTTTGTGATAATATCCTTGACTTGCCCACAGCAGCTTAGCTAGGGATCCTGCTACGCTCCAGCCCAGAGCTGTGAGATTCAGCTTTGGGCACAGTGAGAGCTTGACACCGTGACCTGGAGAGTAAAGCCTTGCAGCGACTCTGTGCCAAGTCATAGTTTCATTTTTACTGCTGTCCACCTGGCCAAGGCAGGCCCTAACTGCATCTACCCAACTCCCCCAAGCAATCCTATGCTGCAGGATATTGTACAACTACTTGTCAGAACCTCTCCTTGTCCTGGTTTCCCAGCAGTTTCCCAACATTTTATTTCTAGACAAAAGCTCATGCTTTAATAAACTCCTCCTCCCTTCTCATCTCCCCTTAATTTCCAATCTGTTGGCCAATACAGTTAAAGTAAGAGGTCTAAATCCATAATTACATTATTATAGATGATCATGGAAAGGCAGTTGGAGCCCCACAGCATGGCAACTTTTGAGGTAAAGCTGTGATGTGAGCTTGGCCCTCACAAGACAGGCCGAGTCTACACTTAAGAGAGAAAGAGACCCCAAACCTCAGGAGGTGCTTGAATGAGGAGACATCAACAGATACTACCCAGGTGTAAAGCCCCAGAACAGCAGGTTTTTTTGGCTTCCTGCTAGCAAAACTGCTCATTTCCCCCAGCTGCTGATGCATTTTCATAGTATCATCATTTGGTATCAAGCTATCAGCAGAGAACAGGCTTGTTATCACTGGATTTTTTTGAAGCCACGCCACTTTTTCACAATACCCGCAGTTGGCCTATGCTGGAGAGCAGATTTCCCAGTTAGGGCAGGTCTTCAGACATGATCCACGTCTCCTGTAAACCCAACACCTCCCCTTTCACACCACATTGCTCCTAGTGTTGTTGCAGTTAGTCCTGCACAGGCAGCACGTCCTGCATTGGGTGCCCAGCATCATCAGTGTAAGGAACCTGCCAGAAATCCAGCCCAAAGTTTAAAGGGCCAGAGCAGCAGTTCTGGCAGCAAGGCCCTTTAGTCCCTTGGTTTCCCTCAGCAGACAAGGGTCATGTCTTCTTTTGCACCGAGTATTTTGCCTCTTGGAACTATAGTGCTGCTTTTAACTAGTCTATGCAGAGCATGCAGTAGTTCAAGCATTGTATACCTTCCCACACATCCACCATGTGTTACCTTTCATTCTGCCCCTCTATTCTGCCCAACTTCCTGGACCACTTCACACCTGGTCCTGCCAACCATATCCCCCTCTTTTTTTTTTTTCATCCCTCTAGGGCTTGTGGTGGAACCCAGAAAGCGTTTCCATTCTGCCTTTTTTCCACCTTCAAGGATGAGCCTCGTGCAAGGGGCACCATGATCAGGCAGCACCCATGTATGGGTGTTCCCTTCCCCCACGGGAAGGGTGCACCTTCAAGGTATGCTGGTTCCGCACAATTACCTCCCCAGCACAAAATACATTCACTTCTTCAGGTTTCATGTGTCAGAATCTCAGCACACTTCCATTTTATCAGGGCTCTTTTCAGAATTCCATTTCCCTTTGATATTTAGATATAGAAGTTATTTATATTTTTTCTTTGCAGCCAGCATCTCAGGCACTCACAATTTGATAACTTGTATTCCTTTCCCTTTCAGTATTATTACAGTACAGGAATTACTGCACCTATTACTGTAATTCCATTTTACTGTGGGAATCAACATCTCTGGCAAGTACAAGTCCCTGTATCAAACCCCAGCTGCTCCCAAGAAACAGATCTAGAGACTTCTGCCCTAATACAGTTTCTGTTGTTTTAAGTAACAAACTAAAGCATAACCCTGGATCATAGACTTAAAAAGTCACTGAGATGAGACAGCATGCTGCCTATTGAACTTGCTCTTCAGGAGACAAATGCTTTGCCAGAAAAATTTAAGCAGTAAGTGTGAAAAAGCCATCCCAAAATTTATTCTCAAAATGTCAACAGAAACGCATCAGTAGATACTCAAAACTACACAATTCTTAAAAGTCATACATTCACAATGCAGAAACTTGACAATTGGGATGCCTTTTGCATGGTCTATGTAACAATATCCATTTTACAGTGTAAACAGGTACTGGCATGTTCTTACTTGCAAGTCCAGCAGGAAAGGCACAACTCGGCATACAGAGATCATAAGCAAGAATCAGGTGCAACAACATTACACAAACTTTTGGTAATCTGCATTTTTCGGGCCTTCCACAACAGAGACTGGACTTGAAGATTTCCTGCAGTCAACAACTAAGACTTCTTTCCATCGTTCAGTCCTTCCAGACCAAATGCTTAAGTTTCCAGTCTGGTTTAGATCCCATTACACACACAGTTCCAGCAGACGTTAGAGGAATAGTGAAAGGTCAGTCCAGTAAGTCTTCGGGTGCTTCCACTAATACATCAGGTTTTGGTTTCACATAGTGCATGGAAGCACCTGCTTGAATCTCAGTTCATTACAGTGGTCATTAATAGAAAAATAGACACTACAACTACAAAAGGAAAAAATGAGGTAGATAACTTAGAATCCAGGTGACTATCCCAGCAACCTTCATACAATACACATGGATCATTAATTACCATTTTGGTAGAATGCAAATTCACAGACTACCAAGAAACTTAATGAC